GGGAGTGAGGGGCACCAGCAGGGCTGAGGAGCTGTGGGTCAGGAGTGATGGGCACTGGCAGGGCAAGGGGGCTGTGGGTTGAGAGTGAAGAGCACCAGCAGGGCTGGAGGGCTGGGGGTTAGGAGTGAGGGCCACCAGCAGAGCTGGGGGAGCTGTAGCTTGGGAATAAGGGGCAACGGCATATCAGGGCTGCTCAGTGCCACAAAGCGGGGGGGGGGGAAGGGGGGGGAGGCAGCCGCAGCTGGGGGGAGGGTGGGGGAGGCAGCCGCAGCTGGACCCATAGCCTGCTGAGCAAAGGGGGCAGGGGGACCTCTGATTTTCCATGATAAAAAACCCAAAATCAAACACCAAAATGTATAGGTATTTAGAATGTATTGTATTATAATGATTAAGGCACTGGTAGGCTGCCAAATTGCTTTAAAATTGTAAATATATCAATAAAACTTTGTGTTCAACTGATACCTATATTTAGCAGTGTTTCATTTTAATCATGGAAAAACACAGATTTGGGGATTTTTAATCAGAGAACCTGCAATTTTTATCAGAGAATTTGCAGTTTTTAAACAGAAAACTAAGATCCCTGTAGATACTCACAATCTGCCTCTTGAGTTAGGAGGAGATTCTGGCTTAAATGTGAGATCATCTCATTGTCAGAGTCACAGTCATCAAATGACTTTGGCCTCTGCACTGTGGCTAAATGTTGGTGCTCTGGGACAAAACAGATTCATTACAAGGAGAGATGACAAAAGCACTTCTGGAGATCTGTTTTTTGTCCTTGGCTTGTGGGGCTGCTTTCAGATCCGTGTTCTTGATCCAGCATTGCTGTTTCTCTTGAGTGTAACCCCTCTTGGCCATTCCTTTAATAATGGCTTCATACATCTCTATTCTGGTGTTTTTGACATGAGAATCTCTGCTGTTCTTTGAAGGGCAAGGAGATCCAGGCAATATGTATCATTCCAGGCAGGCACACAAACCCAGTGTAGTGCTATGGTGCTAGATTGTGATGATCTGGACTCCAGGTGCATAAAACCATAAATGGCTCAATCCTAGCAGTGTGCCAGCACTCAGACAGAGAGGTGACATATAGTCAGCATATCGCCAGAGAAGCAGAGGGCACAGAAGCAAACAGGTTGATTCTGATAAAGACAACAGCTGGAGTAACTTAAGTAGAAAGACATGCAAACAAACACCCAGGCCATCCAGTATGCTGGCTGCACCTACATGAGATGCTGAAAAACTGTGGCAACAACAGTGACACAGTGCTACTGCACAGTAGTATTAGGCTACTACTATGCAGTAGTGTCATGAAAAAGATGTTTGATGGTGCTACTGCATAGTAACTTGGGTTACTGAGCAGTCATTTAGTATTTGTTTATACAAGTACTAAATGATTGCAGTAATGACTGTGCAGTCAGTGTCTCATGTAGTCATAGCCACTGTGAGGTAAACTTAATTGGCATTCAGACAAAAATAAGAATTCACATGATCTGGCCAGCTATTTCACCCACAAACCTATGTCATATGGATGCAGGTAATTTCTGTGTGAATATACTATGGTTAGTGTGAACTAACTCCTTTCTCTCCCTTCCCCCACAATAGACAAGTCTTTATGATTTATGCTTCAGGAAACGTCACAGAAAACAAGTGTCAAGTGTTACTGTTATAGTCATGTAGACTATCCTTGCCATGTATTACACATTAAAGAAGATGAAGAATATGACCTGAAACCTGAATATTTATAAGGATATATAATATACAGGTGTATAATATATACACACCTGAAAAAAATACATATATATACACATCTTCAGGTTTCAGGGCATATTCTTTACATATATATGTAGAAATACAGCAACTTAGAGATGAGTAATAGTAAATACTCTGTTAAAGCCAGCAATCAAAATTAAAGAGCAGGACACTGTAGATGTGTCTACATGAGATGCTTTACTGTGCAGCAGACTAATCTACTGTGCAGTAAAGCATCACACTCTACATGTGCATGGCATTTGCTGCACAGTAAATTAGTGTACTATACAGTTAGCTAATACCTGTAAATACAGGTACTAGATTAACTGTGCAGTAGTTACTGCCCAGTAGTTACTGCAGAGTAGCACTTGTGTAGACTCTGACCAGGAGCAAATTTGCTCCCTGTCAGCCACACCAGCAGGGGGCCAAAAGGGACAGGTGAGTTCTCTGTCCCTGGTCCTGGTGCTACTCAGCTCCCAGCTCCCTTCAGGAGCCAGAAGCTGAGCAGTGCTGGGACTGGAGAGCTATCTGCTTCCCTGCTCAGCAGTAGGCTCACTGGCAGCTGCTCCAAGAGTGAGACAGCTCCCCATTACCCCCTACTGGGTAGGATAGCCCTGCTGGGCACCGGGCTCCCTGGCAGCTGTGTGTCCTGATGTGCCTGGGGCTGGGAGAGCTCTGCTGGCTGCAGCCACAGCTGTTTGGCCCCATGCACATCAGGACCTCTCCTGATGTGCATGGGGCCAAGAGACAGTTGCCGCTACAGCCGGCAGAGGTCTCCTGGCCCCAAACGCATTAGGACCAGTCCCCGTACTCCCTATCAGCCCCCAGGCTAGCACTCTGGGGGAGCCCGGAGCTGCCCCGGGCTGTTGCAGGGGAGCACAGCAGAAGTGGACTGCTCCCAACAGGGTGCACATGTACATGTGCTCCCAGGGAAGGCTTACTGTGCAGTATTTTACTGCGCAGTAAACCTATACCATGTTAATAACATATGTAGATGTGCACTGCGTGTGTAATACTAAGGGACCGTTAAAGAAAGTAGGAAGAAATAGCCCAAGATAACCTCACTGAGTGGGTCTTCAAACTCCAACTCCAGCTCTGCAGACCTTATCTGATGGCAAAAGAGAAGAAATTATAGATGTTGCTAGAGGTCTTTTTGCTGTTTTCTAGTGATGCTGTGTGCGTGGGCTTTGTAAGAGTGGGTAGATGCTTCTATCTTGAAGTGGTTTGTTAGTGTTTGAGTCCATGCTTTTTCAGATGTGTGAAATGATTGGCTGGCTCACATGTCTTCAATCATCTGTTTGTTTAGGTCACTGAGGAGGCAGCTTATCAGCATGTCTGCAGGTGCCTGCTGTCAGTTCAGACAAAGCAAGAGTAAGAAAGGTCTGTATTCACAGTGGATTTACGCATCTATCAGACTGCCTCTCATTAGAAAGAAGCTGTGCAACTCCTTACACAAAGCCCTGATGGATTTATTATGCTGCACACAGTTGTTCAAAATGAATGCTAGCAGAGAGCAGAGGAGATATATCTCTCTATCCCGGAAAGTACTTGCCAATGAGGAAGCACAGTGATAAATAAGAATTTCACTGTAACAATAATAGGAGAAGGAATATGAGAACTCCTGAACAAGTCTCAGACTCCTTGGTCTTCTACAACCAGTAACACACACCAATGGCACAAGTAAACCTTTGACAGGGGATAGCCCCAGTGAGCAGGTATTTGTGAAACTCAATCAATGTAAAGAGTTGACTTTGAGATGTGGACGTTATGTAAATGAATGAGGTGAAAACACAAATTCATATAATGCCAATGGTTACAAATAATAAACGCTTCCCAGAGATGTAAGGTTGCCACAGTAGGAAAGGTGGAATAACTTTAAATTGATCCCAGATTTAGGAAGTGCTCAAAGCCTATTTGTCCCTCCTAACTGACAGGGAAAGTCAGACTACTAGCTCCAAAATCCTTCTAGGTCCTTCTGCTGAGCAATCTGCTACTCCTCCCTCTGTGTATCTTTTCTGGTGCTCTTATTTCATTTTAAAATGTATTTCCATTTACATCATTCTAAACTGCATTGGCATCTATAGAATTACACCTGATTCAGACCAGAATAGCCTGTAAGAAGAATCTGGCTATAGATGTATTACATGCAACTAAATTTGTGATTTTTCGGTAAACAAAATACAGCTGCCACCATTAAATCTAAGGCAAACTGAGCATCATCCAGTCTGTTCAGCACCAAAGTAAAATCACTACATGAGCTGCTGCTGTTTCTCCTCTGCAGGTAGCAGAGCATGAAAGTCCTGTGCTCGTGGTTAAGGCTTCACATTTCAAGGTAGAAGGAAGCCTCAATGTTCCAAGGACTTGGCCTTAATCTGCCTTGGGGACAAAGTAGGAGATTGGTCTTTTCTGAAAGCCTGCCCTCTGTGAACTCCAGCCTTGGCCCTTATACCAGCATACTTCTAAGGACATTTCAGTTCTCAAAAAGCTACTTCAGTCATCTATCTGCCTTGTCCACCATATACCATAGCTTAGGGGTGTGTCCAATATATTGCACACAGCATAGGGAGTCAAGATTGAAAGGAATATACAGTAAAGAGCTTTTGTCACATTCCAGTAGATTTTTAAAATAAACTATCACATGCTAGCAAATGTCCACATACTTTACTTGTATAGTAAGCAGTCATTGAGATCTCCCTTATGTTCTATATTTGTCTAAACCGAAGCTTTATCCTTCCTAATCAGCCTAGGGGATTTTGTGGAGGTCTTCAGGGATGACATAATTCAATACCTGTGATGTCACAATGCTGAGAAAGGGAATAGAGAATAAAACAGATAGGGCTCACATTTGAGAAACTATGAAAGTGTCAAAAGCTTTGTAAGGGCCCATGCCTGCCAAGGCTTAAGATGCTTTCTGTACCCTTCCAAGTGCCTCAATTCCTACTGTTAGCAGGAACTGAAGGCACAATTTTGAATGCTGAGTTCACCATAGGATCTAACCCCAAATTGGAGCTAACTATAAAGGACTTCCTGTTTATACACAACACCAATGAAGAGGGGTGATGAGATAGTGCACTGTATCTCCATGTGCAATGGAAATGAGTGGAGACATTCTATAAACTGCTGTTTTGAAACATTTGTGCAAGCTCAGAGAAAAAAAGGTTGAGAATTCATCCAACTGAAACATGGTGCATAATTTAATACCCAGATGTTGCTAGTGCCACCACCAACCCAATGCCCCAAGGCTGTACACTCACCTCCCATTTATTCCATTCAGAATGAGATGGTTTCTTACTCCTCTGGGAAAGATTTGTCTCCCACGTCTCGGCACCTCCTGACTGGCTCTTTCCTTTCCGTTTCCGCTGTACCATTGGCTTCATGTTGCTCATCTCTCTTTCTTACCTGGTTCGAACAATCTTGTTTTAAGCCAGTGCAATCTGCTCCCCTCCCCCAGCTCCCTTGCAACTCCCTACCCAATCCCAAGGCGTCCTTATTGTTGGTAATATTCCATATTGTTCTCACTATTGATTTATGGCACTGATAACCTAGCTGCCTCACCAAGATAAGGAGAATGAATATGTATCCTTCATGGTGACACAGAGAAGAAATAGATCTCCTTGTTGAATACATTAGAGCAATTCACATTTAACCCTCTCAGCACTGCATGTCCACTGTTTTTTTTTCGCTCATGTGTTACAAACCTGTCCCTTTAATAGCTGAATTTTAATATCTGGCGAATGCAACCAAGAAAAGAAAAGCTTAAAACACACAATAAAGCAGTAAATTTATTTATTTATTTTATCCAGTGCTCATCATGTAGGAGCAACAGAAAATATTTCTTAGCTGGTGACATTGCTACATGAAATGCCTAATATTATTATTTAATGTTCATAGGGCATTGTGTCTAGTCAGGATACCATCGCTCTATGCTAGGCATTATACAAACACATATGAAGTCAGTCCCTTTCCCCAAAGAAGCCTGGGTATCATAAAGGTAGTGTCTGTACATAATAAAAGGTGAATAAAGGTACAGAAGGCAGGGTAGATATGAATGTTATAGACTGATTAAATCAGAGATGTACAACACAAGCTTTTGAGAGTCTAAGCTTGCTTCATCAGGAGCTGTGAAAGGACATGCACAGAGCACACTGGCTAAGTGTCAGTTATTTGAGCTTAAGAAAATAGGTTCAGGTTGATTTCTGTGCTGTTTTTGAGAGGGGGCTTATGGGATGCTGGTAGGAAGATGTCATTAGGCCTGGTGGTCTCCCGGCCTGTCCCTCCTGTGCATGCCTTAGTGCCCTGGAGGAGCAGGTGGGTGAGCTCCAGGCTGCGGTGAGTAGGCTGAGGGGGATCAGGGAGGCAGAGGACGAAATTGATGCCTATTTCTGTTCTCTGCAGGCCCGGTCGCCCACGGTACAACCCCCACAGGAGTCGCAGCCATCGCAGGAGTGGAAGATGGTGCCCAAATCTAGAGCTGCTAGGCGGAGAGCGGTGGAAGCCCCCCAGGTTCAGCTGGAGAACAGGTTTGATGCCTTGGCAGCGCTGACGGATGAGGGCAGAGGGGTCGGCCCTGCAGGGGACGATGCCGCTCCACGCAAGACAGAGACTGGGAGGAGAGAGAACACCAGGAGGAAGAAACGCCGGGTCCTAGTCATCGGGGACTCCCTCCTGCGAGGGCTGGAAGGTCCGATCTGCAGGCTGGACCCCATGTCACGGCAGGTCTGCGTCATGCCTGGGGCTCAGGTCAGGGACATCACGGAGAGGATCCCGGCCTGCATCCGGCCTGCAGACCGGTACCCCATGGTTGTCGTCCATGTGGGTATGAACGACGCGGCAAGAGGCAACCCTGACCGTATTATGAGGGACTTCGTATAAGAATGGAGCTATAGTGGCTGTTGACTCACTGTGTATCTCGCGCAGACTTGTAATCAACCTAAACTAGTGATTAGTGAAAAGATGCCTAGCAAGCTAAGTTTATGCCTCTTCTCTGTTACCGTGTGTGCTTAGCACTGCTACAGGTATCATTAAAGCTCTCCCTGAGTAGCACCAAGGGCCTAGAATGGTATAAACTCAAGTATATGCTCTGAGAACCTAATCAGCATGTGCATGCTGGTTTTGTCATTTGGATATTTGCATTGTAGGTATTTGCACAAGTGAATATTAAATTTGGTGGCATCACTTCTATAAGTTTGGTCAGACTTTCAGGTAACTACATGTAACCACATATAAAAAGTTACTTGTATGTAGTATACTATAGTTACTTTTTCTTCCTGTACATTACCTCTTCACTTAAAGCCATGTTCCTTATTCTGGCATGCCTGTGGGTATCAGGGGGGGGGGTGGGACTTTATGTCAAGGAGCACTACACATCCTCTGCCAGCAGTATGGGGTCAGGGGAAGGGCGAGCTGAAGTGCTCTGGGTCAAGATCCAGGGGGGGCAAGGCGAGAGGGATTTGACGGTGGGGGTCTATTACAGACCCCCCAATCAGGAGGAGGAGCTGGACAGGGAATTTTCAGGCCAGCTTGCGGAGACACTAAAAGCAAGGGATGTAGTTGTCATGGGCGATTTTAATTACCCGGACATCTGCTGGGAGGAGCAGTCAGCCGGGACGGACCGCTCCAGGAGGTTCTTGGCCGAGTTGCAGGACCTCCACTTGATTCAGGAGGTGCACAGTCCCACCAGAGGAGATGCTCTGCTGGACCTGGTCCTGGCCGCAGGCGACGACCTGGTAAGAGGCCTCCAGGTTCTTGACCACCTGGGCAATAGTGATCATCGCGTGCTGGAATTCACCATCCAGCGTAGAGTGTCAAGGGCCCGCAGCAAGGTGGTGGCCCTAGACTTCAGGAGGGCCAACTTCAGTGAGATGAGGAGATTAGTGGGAGAGGAACTGGGGTCCTTGAGGGCAGAGGAACTCAGCGTCCAAGAGGAGTGGTCGTTCCTTAAGGAAACGATACTCGGGGCCCAAGGGGTGTCCATCCCGACAAGAAGCAAGGCGGGCAGGAGTGTCCAAAAGCCCCCCTGGCTCACCAAGGGTGTCCGGGAATGCCTGCTTGCCAAAAGGGTGGCGTACGCCCGGTGGAAGGGGGGTGTAATCTCCAAAGAGGAGTATACCTCCTCTGCTCGGGCCTGCAGGCGGGCTGTTAGGAAGGCCAAGGCGGAGATAGAGCTCGGATTAGCGTCCAGGATTAAGGATAACAAAAAGTCCTTTTTCAAATATATTGGGAGGATGAAGAAGGCGCCGGGTAATGTGGGGCCCCTGCAGGATATGCGGGGCAATCTGGTGGTTGCGTCAGAGGATAAAGCGGACCTCTTTAACCAATTCTTCACCTCCGTTTTCTTGTGCAGGGACCGGGACTTCCCTGCTGTGATAGAAGCCGGACGCGAGGGGATCGCCTTCAGACCTCAGGTTGGGGAGGACCGGGTTAGAGAGCTTCTGGAGGGGCTGGACGCGTTCAAGTCAGCGGGTCCGGATGCTCTCCACCCCAGGGTGCTGAGGGAGCTGGCTGGGGTTATTGCAGGGCCCCTGGCACGGCTCTACGAGCGATCGTGGTGCTTGGGCCAGGTGCCAGACGATTGGAAGGTAGCTAATGTGGTCCCCATCTTCAAAAAAGGGAAAAGGGAGGACCCGGGCAATTATAGGCCCGTCAGTCTTACCTCAATCCTGGGGAAGCTCTTTGAGAAGATCATCAAGGAGCACATTTGTGATGGGCCGGCATCCGAGATGATGCTCAGGGGCAATCAGCATGGATTTATTAGGGGGAGATCATGTCAGACCAACCTGATTGCCTTTTATGATCAGGTCACAAAGGCCATGGACGCAGGTGTCGCGGTGGATGTAGTCTTTCTGGACTTCAGCAAGGCCTTTGACACCGTCTCTCACCCCATCCTAATTAATAAACTAGGCGACTGTGGCATAGATGCCTACACAGTCAGATGGATTGCAGATTGGCTGAAGGGTCGCACTCAGAGGGTGGTGGTGGATGGATCATACTCGACTTGGGGGGAGGTGGGTAGTGGAGTCCCCCAGGGCTCGGTCCTGGGGCCTGCGCTGTTCAATTTCTTCATCAGCGATCTTGATGTTGGGGTGGAAAGCAACCTGTTTAAATTCGCTGATGACACCAAAATTTGGGGGGAGGTGAGCACGCTAGCAGGGAGAGAGAGATTGCAGAAGGATCTGGATAGGTTACAGGGGTGGGCAAACAGGAACAGGATGTGTTTCAATACGGACAAGTGCAGGGTGCTGCACTTGGGTAGTAGGAACCAGCAGCACACTTATACGATGGGGAACTCCCTACTTGAGAGCACGGAGGCGGAAAGGGATCTTGGTGTCATTATTGACTCCAAGATGAACATGGGCCGACAATGCGAGGTCATGGTTGGCAGGGCTAACCGGACCTTGTCGTGCATCCACAGGTGCATCTCGAGTAGAGCCAGGGAGGTGATCCTCCCCCTCTATGCGATGCTGGTCAGGCCGCAGCTGGAGTATTGTGTCCAGTTCTGTGCGCCCCATTTCAGGAGGGATGTGGACAACATGGAGAGGGTCCAGAGGAGGGCCACCCGCATGATCCGGGGACAACAGGGCAGACCCTACAGTGAGAGACTGCGGGACTTGAACCTATTCAGCCTCCACAAGAGAAGGCTGAGGGGGGACCTGGTGACCGTCTATAAACTCACTAGGGGGAACCAGAAGGGGTTGGGGGAGGCGCTGTTTCCCCTAGCCCCCGCTGGCATAACAAGGAGTAATGGGCACAAGTTGATGGAGAGGAGGTACAGATTGGACATCCGAAAAAACTACTTCACAGTTAGGGCGGCTAGGAGCTGGAACCAACTTCCAAGGGAGGTGGTGCTGGCCCCTACCCTGGGGATCTTTAAGAAGAGGCTGGATACTTACCTGGCTGGACTCATTTGAGTCCCGTTTTTGTTTTTAGGGTTTGTGGGTTTTTTTGGGTTGTTCTCCCGCCCTGGCGGGGGGTCGGGCTAGAAGATCTATTAGGTCCCTTCCGACCCTAAAACTATGAAACTATGAAACTATGAAATTAGTTCATAATGGATAAACAGAAAAATAACATCTGCAATAACACTGCATCAGCTGACTTCTAAAAATGTTAAACATTAAGGCTTCATCCTTATTGCTGAAAAAAAAGCCTTTTTCCATAAGATGATGAATTGAGGTTAGTATTAGTCTTTTTGGCAGTGAAGATGTAGCCTCAAGGACCTACAAGAGTTGGGCTTGCACTGTTTTATATTTAAAATGCCCATGCTCATTTCTTATGTTATGCTGCCACCTTGGGGCCAAGTCAGGTCATTCAATTAAAAGGACAACACGTGTTACCAGCTTATCCCATGCTATTGAACAAAACAATTAATCAGGGAATAGCA